AAATTTGTAATTATATATATATATATATATATATATTCATGTTTTTTTTTTGTCATGAGTATACCTGCATCTATTAGGGGTGTTAATTGTATAATTTGATTAAATATTTGGCTTAAAAATCATCCGAACTAAACAAGAAAATTAAATTAAATTCAATATTTGGATCAGTCTATGTATTTAACACAAACATTTTTTATTATTATTTTAATAAAAATATATAATAAAATAATTTTATTATCTTATTAAATATTTTTCTTTTATATATATATTTTTTTTTTATTTTTTTTTTTTGTTGTTAGATCTTCAATTTTCATTGCTTCAAGTTATTAATTATTATATTTAAAAATTAACAAATGCACATTAAGCATATAAGAAAAGTTCATGTAACACTTATTTGCTATCTTTTAGGAAATATAGGTTGATAATTGATATTCGAAAATTTAAGAGACGACTGAACTTTAGTTCCTAGTAGTAAATGGATAGACAAAACTTATAGGCGTTTATACCCTAAAATCATTTTTCAATAGAATGAAAAAGACATGAATACATGTTACCATCCTAATCATAGAATATGATACATTTAAAAAAAAAAATTAACTATGTTATTAGTATGAAACATTGACTTATTAGATGATTAATTTTTGTTAGAGAACTTGATTAATTACTTTTAGTAGAATCTTTCATCTCAATCACATTTTTTTTTTATAAGATTCAAATTCGAAACCTTATTTAAGAAAATTAAATCTAGTATCACTTAGATTAATAATTTGTTAGTAAAAGAAAAATATTTTGCTTCATAACATATATATTTACATATAACATCAATTTGATTTGAGTCAGTAAAACGCAAACTAAACTAAACCAAATTGGAAGACTTTAAAAAAATGAACAAAACCGCTAAATTTCAATTTTTCAACGAGTTTTGTTTTTTTTTTTTTCGTTTTTTATGATTTTTCATGTAAGTTAATTCAGTTTTAAATGCTCCTAAAGTCCTGGTATTCATTGTTTGATCTCTCTTTTTCTTTTTTTGTTTTTGTCAATATAATCGTTGGCATTTTTTTTTTCATATTATTTTGGTCAATATATCCATTGTTCTCTAAAGTGTTCTTGTGAACTTCATGGCCCAGTTAATTTTGGCGTAGTAGGAAGGAGCAAGAGATTCACTTCGAGCGACATGAATCTATTTCTATTACATGGAAAAAATAAATAAACTGAAATCTAAGTTAAGCAAGACTCCATGGCCCAATGGATAAGGCGCTGGTCTACGGAACCAGAGATTCTGGGTTCGATCCCCAGTGGAGTCGATTTTTCCTTTTTGCTCGATGTTCATCTTCTCAACACATTGTATTGTTTGTTTACTATTACATTCTTGATTTGAAAAAAACTGGTGAACTTTTTCACCTCAATTTATTTTTTAATATAAAAGAGTTATTATAAATATGATAAAATTTAAATATAATTCTTCAAGTAAAATTAATATTATTCTTTCATTAGAGCATCTTCAGTGGTAAGCAACTCCCTGTACCACATCACTATCACATCAACTCTGGTCCACTTTATGGGTTGCTTAAATTTTAGCAAATTTGCTTGTAGAAACAACTTTGCTAAAATTTAAGCAACCCATAAAGTGGACCAGAACTATGTGACAGTGATGTGGCACAAGGAGTTGCTTATCCTACAATCGTAGTTTATTAACCTTAAGTAAACTTATAAATATAAGTTTACTTCCTATTTTATCTCATTTTTACTTCATTTCCTCTTTCTCATTACATTACTTATCACATTTATAATTTTCTCTCTCCCTTTTTCTTTTTTCTTCCTATCTTTCTCTTCCTTCTGCCCATCAATCTCAAAATGCAGAGGACTTTTACTATTTTCCACTTAAAATATAGTGCATTTACTGGGAATGTGATGTATTAAATCTAACATGTTTACTTGTTTAGCTCACTGGTTGATTGAGTTGAATGACTAAATTCCCCAACTTGCATACCAACGGATTGAGTAACTGGTCGGATTAAGACTTATTATACTACCATTATAATTTGTTTATTTTGTAGTTGATAGATATAATATTAGTTTATATTTTTATTTATTTGATTACTCATAAATTATCATCTTATAACCTTTATAATTATTTAATAAACTTTTATTGTTAAGCTTTTAGCCCTTCAACTTTTTTAAAAATTCGGTGTTTAGTCTCTTAATTTCTTTTGACAAATTTTAGACTTTTATTAATTTTTTGTCACATAAATTAGACCTTTAAATTTAATTTTATTTGTTAAATGATGATATGTGTTAATAAATCATCATTCACTCAATTTAAGTTAGGTTGGATTGACCCATTGAGACCCCTAATCTTTAGCACGCAAGCTTCAAATTTTTCAAGACATCCAAACTCCAACCCTTGAAAACACATAAGATATGATCATTCACCTGCCCCACAATAAGTTTAACCGAATCTACTAAACTAGCCATCAGTATTGTATGGCACATAAATAAATCTAGGGATGAAAAATGGTATTTTATAGGTCTTGCTGCATTGAAGTTTAACCAACTTAACTATACGTACTGAGAACAAAATATGGAATGCATTATAATGGCTCATAATTTACATGGAAAAAATTGATAGGAACTAAGTTAACTGCCCATGAAAATGTTTCCACTATCAGCAACTTTCCTAGGAACTGGGGCACACATGCATACACACACTTGGATATTTTGAATACTTCAGATACAGTAAATGGTGTTGATGGAAAAAATGACCCCCCTGAAACTAAGATTGGATAAAGACAATCTACTCATTAAACCCACGAAAGGGATAACAGAAAAAGTAGAATGGATTAATTAACTCGGATATGGAGGATGGCTTCACAGCAATTACATAATCCTCAAGAAATGGCAGGATCCGTTACATGTGTGCCATTCACTCCGAGGCATGTAGGTGCAACAGCTAACACTTGAAGCAATGGTTCCTAATGTTGTTCACATTGTCATTGGCGCATAAGCAGCTTTACACACCGAGTATCACAGTATTATCATCCTAGAACACTCTCTTTAATAGTTGCTGAATCTCTTACTTTATTAGTACCTGTTACCAACACAAAATGACAATTGGGACAAGTTAACCAATAATACGATGAGCTATTCAAAGTCTCAAACCTAAGTAGTTTACAATTTTATATAGCTCCAAATGCTGATTCAAGATTCAAACCCATTTCACATACAAACTTAAAACATCCCCAACGAATATTTATATGGAGAGTATACATATTCATATAGAAAGTTTATTTTTAGAGAAGTACTGACAACACTCTCCTTAAAACACACTTTCAACTACTGTTTAAAATTTATTGAAAAATATGAAATCACGTGTAGCTATTTAAATAAGTGGGGCCCACAATTTTTTTTTAATTTGCAAAGTCAATAATGAATTTGTTTAGACTTTAGATAAACTTCTTTATAAGAACTTAAAACTTGTAAGAGAAGCAAGTAAAAAAGAAAAATTAAATAAGTTTCTCCATAAATTAAATTGATTTATACAAATGTTAAAAATAAGTTTCTCAATAAGCTAATATGAGACAAGTTCTACAAATTAAATTATGCACAAGTTAATTTATACTTTTACAGAAGCTCATTTCATTTTTTTTCTTCTTATTTTCATCTCCTCCCGTGAGTACTTCTGAAAAAGTTTATCTAAACAAATCCAATAGTGTTATATAAAGAGTATCATTAACATTTCTCTTATAAGCTTTGTAGAACCAAGTATTAAAATTTACCCCTCTTCTTGAGCTTGTTGCGGAAGCTTCTTTTCCTGCTAAATGCAGTTTCCTGCGGTAATATAGCAAGTATTACTCCACAAATATTGGAATCCATCAATGATTTATGGAATCGGAATTATATGTGAAACTATTCAGTCCATAGTTAACTCTATCATCATACATGACCAGTAACAACTGTAAAAACTCAAGATCCAATTTTTAGATTAAACACTTATTTTTCTTAAAACAATCTCAGTTGGTATGTATTTGTGCCAGAGTAAGGCCGATAAATTTTAAATAATGTTTCAAAATTTACCACAGGTTGACCAAGTTCCCCTGCCCGACGAACGGCATCAACAAGCTCCCTGTTGGATTCAGTGTACATGCTAGTAACAAGTCCAATTTGACCGGCTCTAGCTGTACGACCAACCCTATGCAAAAAGTCTACAGCAGAAGTAGCAAAATCCGCCTGATACACATGAACAACATTAAGAATGAACACATATTTAATAAAGTAGAAAGCGTTGTCATAATAGTAGTATCAGAGTTCATATGTAGAAAATAAAGGAGACAGGTACATGCATACTAATGTAATGATTTAAGGCTCCTATATTAAACAAAGTAACTCACATGTGGCAAAAGAGATCACGCAGGGAGGATAATAGAATTTTTCAGACTATATTTGGTTTTTGTAAAAATTAAAAGCACTTAAATGGCACAAAGGACCTCTTGATCCCCAGATTTTATCAAATCATTCCTGATCAAGAGTCTTAAAACTCAAGAAAATTTCCATCCATTTTACCAAGTCCATTGGATAGATCCATTAACTCTTATGCCTTCAGTGTTGTTATCACATCTTCTCCACTCTGTCATTGTGGCTCGATCCATTTGATCACAAAAATGTTCCTTTCTTCTGAAAGTAATTAATCAATCTTGGCAGTTGACAATCAACTAAATCATCAAACAATAAGTATACAAATTACAAATTCCAGAATACTCTTTGCCACCTCAATTCTAGTTTCATAAATCAGAAAAAGTACTGGAAATTAACTTGAATAGGCTGTCATGCTTATGCATATTTTACTTGAGACATAACATAGTAATTGAGGAATATGGATCCTCTGGTGATGAATTTATATACAGATGGTATTAATTACAATATCTAATCACAGGAAACAATGAACTACAAATCAAATCATTATCAAACCAAATCATATCCCAAAGATATTGCGAATTAACAGAGATATACTCATATACAGCTCCTAAATAGGAGATATTTTCCCTGAACAGAAGATAATTTCAAACAGTTTAATTCACAAAATATAGCATGAAGAGATAGCAAGCTTATGGACAAGAGATATTGGCTAATGTTATTTTAATAAAGCAACTTGATAAGAACTTCAGGAGAACCACACCACAAAAGTTAGTCATTGTACTTGGAGCCCGAGGTATTATAAACCCCACTCTAAAATCTCATACTTCCAGTATGGAACTCAAGTCCCATTTATTGCGATTGAATCCTAACCAACCACCACACCCTACAGCCTCAAAGCACATATGAGCTAGCTATGAACTAGCCCTTTGACTAGTCCCAAGCAAACACTGCAATATTAGTGCCACCAGTCACCAGCCGTGCTGCTTTTGTGTGGCTGATAGAATGGTGAAATTTTCTTTTACAAATTGATAAGATATTATTTGAATAGAAAGTTCTATCTTTAATGTTATCAAATTTTAGAGTTTAATGACTAGCCTCTTGCTAGCTTACACTCTTATCCAAGTTTTTTTTATAAATAAAAGTACAAAAAAAGCCTATTTCACATCTGATTTTTTAAAGGAAAAATACATTTCTTAGGAGTAAAATTAGTATTTGTAAGGTTGTATAATTTTACGCAATTAATTAAAAGTATTGTTTTTGATTGACGTTGTAAGGGTGTTTGTAACGCCTAATTCTAATACCCAAATTATACAATTTTATAATATTTTCGCAATTATATCATTAACAATATCTATATATTTAATTCAAATAATATTATCAATAATTATTATTGTTGATTTTTCGTAAAAGACAACTTTTATTTTACTTTATGCGTAAAAGCTTATGATATATAGTAGATGACTGTAATGTAGTGAGTAGATTTCAAAGTTTAGTTAATTCTAGGGAGAAGAGTATATAAGGGTTTCTATAAGAAGGGAACTTTATAAGTTCATTCTCAAGGAAACTTAGAGAGAAGGACTCTGGGTTTGTGAGCTCCTTTCTCTCCCAAATTTCTCTATTTGATCATATGATATGGCATGTGTATATGTTCATATGAGGATGATATTGATCATGATGGTGGATTGACCATGTATGATGTATGATACATTATTGCATGTGATGCCTTATGGCATGTGTCTAGCCTAGGACTTGAGGAGAGGAAAATATATTTTCGAACTGGAAGAGCTCACATAGAGTCTCTTGAGAGTGGTGCCTGGATAGGTGACTGATATAAATGAGAGTGGTGCTTATATAGGCCACTAGTTTTGGATGACAGTGGTGCTCAGGTAGGCCATTAGTTTGGGTGAGTCTCCTCTAAGTCCTTAGCTAGTGTTGAAACGGAGTATGAGGTTGAGGGTTATTCCCTTAACCAAGTACTGGGGAAGGTGCATGGTTCCTTGCGGATAGTCGGTGGACGAACTCCACAAGTGACTTGGTAATGCATGCCAAGGTCGCGGTAAGCCTGTACCCAGCTATGTTATACCTGATGGTGGAACTGGACTTCCAATTGTGTAAGTGACATCATCCGAGTAAACCCGAGTGAGGATTTATATCCTGTTTAACTGTGACCGAACGGGCGCATTGGGCGTGAAAATGGTTGGGGTTTCGGTAGGATTGGGATGTCACTTATACTACTCTGCTATTAGGGAGATCTCCTAGGGGTATGCGTGACGACGCATTTGATGATAGATATGCATTGATATCTTTATTGTGTTACTTAATCGCATGATTGTTGTTATGATGAAGTGTATGGTGTTTGACTTCATGATTTGATGATTTGATAGTTGAGTAGCATAGATATCATTATTATGCTTGTACGGTGATTTATTGAACTCTAGCTTACCCTTCTGTTTCCATGTGGTTGGACTGCGATGATCATACTTTGTATGGGAGAAAATCAGGGCTAGTTAGGAGTTAAGGTGACCGCTGCGCGAGATGATGAATTTTGTCCTAGTGTCAGAGTTACCTTCTTGGGTAACTGTTGTTTGTGCTTAACCGGTACTAAGGTTATATTATTTGGATGAATGTACATATTTAGTGTCGTATTTGTACATAGAAACATAGTTCTATTATATATATATACACACCTGTATGTATGAGTTATCCAATTTTAATATTTCTCCTAGTTCACTATTAGTAGTGCAATTCCACTAAGGGTAGGGACCATGGCGGGTCGTTACAATGATTATTCTACAAACTTTCATGACTCACGATATTAAAAGTAGAGGAATGTTACTCAACTAATATTGCAAACCATTGCAAAAATTAAAACAATTTATAGGTGGAATATGTTTTAATATTTTAGTTAAAGAAGCAAAATTTTCATAGGGATATGAGTTAGCAAATGACTAATTGATAAACCCTTGCAATAACATTAAACATAGAATTGTTATTCAATTAATGAAATTGATATTTATTTTTTAATATTATATTAAAATAAAACTTTCGTATTTGTACATTTTATTTTATTTTAGAAAAAAACTTACACAAGAAATTAAGTTAGCAAATGGTTAATCATTAAACTTGATGGAATCATGTCAAGGCCAAGAAGACCAATAGGTGATACATTGAAGGACCCAAGAGGAATGAGTTAGTCTTGAAGACCACAGGAGGATTGGGCCTACTTTTGGGTTAGTGGGCCTAATTAACTCACCTTGGGCTATGGGCCTCTAACTAATAAAAGCCCAATACCTCTCATATGATTATATATATATATATATAT